AGTTTCTCCATAATGTTTAATTACTTTCCACGCTGTGCTTTTAGGAATATTAAGTTCGTCTGCCTTTTCACGTATTGTTTTATTGTGGCAATAATTTTTAATCACTAATTCACGGATTTTTGCATCTGTACAGATACCACGCACCATTTTAATTGATAAATACAGATTTACTCAACAGCAACAATGTTACAAGCTTTAGAACAAACCGACAATTTAACATTTCATTTTATCATAATCATTATATTCATTATCCACGGGTAGCCATCTTGACCAGACTACTAATAATTATTTGAAACGTTAAAAGTTCAAAAAACGTGAATTTAATTCAATTTTTTAGGAGTTTCTAAATGTTTGACATTAAAAAAACCTAAACAAATTCCCTTTTTCGTATGATTTAAGCATAAATTAATTAATTTTCCTAAAGAAAACGACGTTTTATAAAACTGACATTCAGGTTAATTATGCCACTCGCTACGCTCGTGACATAAACTTAACCTTCGTGAATAATAGCCCTCATTATATGCTCATATAATAATATACTATTATTATTAATAAAATTTTCTTTGTAAATAAATGAATTATATACTCAAAATCAAATGGTTTTTCATTATAATATGGAATATTATCATGCTCATAAATAACAATCTATAAAATTCAGTTTACAGGTAGTTTCCACAGAAATTTTATACTACCTTATGTGAATAAGGTAAAAAAAAATTCGCAAAAGCCTTATGTCAAAAAAAGGCAAAAAATGTGAAGAAATGGTGCGTAAATGGCTTGAAATTATTGAGACATTCTATAATATTAAACAGTCAAAAACTCATTTTAAATAAGATTAGAAAAAATATTACTAATGGAAATTAAGAAACGATTTTTACATCGAATTTTAACTAAATTCTTTAACTTTACGAAGATATACAGTACAGAAACGTATTTTAAAATCAAGAAACAATTTTTTTCACTTGTTAAAGTTCAATTATTTTATTTTAATGAATATATTTGACTATTTTTGTTCGAATCCAAGGCGCGCTCGACTTTAAGCTAGCGTCGGGCGCCCGGCACTTCAGGGTTGAAGAGACGACAAGGCCAGTCTCTGATTCTTCGGCCGTACTCAGCAAAGCGACGAGGGATTTGTTTTCTGTCTTTTACGCCATGTAGCAAATAAGGCTGGGGCGATAGTACATGACAGAGTTACAGCTTGGGGCATTTTTTATCCGACACCCTGTATAAAGAGAATTTATAAACAAGATAAGGATTAGTGTAAAAAACAAGGCGAATCCGAATCGATCGAAACCGCTTTTAAACGAGACCAATAAAGTATCACGTCTGGATTATTGGCTATCATATGTGAATGTGGATGTTTTATCGTTTGAGGATTTAATGAATTACATCCAGATTGATGAAAAGTGGTTTTTATCACTAAATTGAACCAAAAAATCTATCTCCTGTCGGATGAAATTAAACTATGTCCTCAAGTGTAAAGTAAGTCAAACATGACCAAGGTGATGTTTTTAGCAGTTGTTATCCGACCGCGGTGCGATCGTTACCATAAGCAGCACTTTGATAGGAAAATTGGAATATGGCCATTTATTATACAATATGTAGCCTCGCAAACTAGCATGTTTGTAACGATGTTTACAAGCGTATGTGAATAAATGGATTAACTAATTTCGGCAATTAAAGAAAAATGAAGAAATTCAGTAAATTTTTAGAAGTTATAGATAAAGCTAGAAACAGGCCCAGAATTTTTCCACAGCCAAACAAAGGTATAAAAATTACACTATGAAATATTTCTTTGAGTTAATGATAGCCAAATAACGTTAAGTATCAGTTCTCGAAGACTCTCTTATTTTTTTTAAAGAAAGTATAAAAGAACTCATAGAAAAAATATGTAAAAGAATACATTAATTCATTTCCCTGGGTAGAATGTCAATATTGTCGAGCCAGCACTAATAAAGAATAACAAACAGGATCTAACTAAAAATTTTTGAATTGTGTAAGGATCATATCATATCGTTTGACTTGGAAAATGTGTATGTACTGCCAAACGTATCAAAGTTTTACTACAAATGTAAATTCAGTGTTTATAATTTAACTACACAATGCTCTAAAAATAAGAAAACATATTGCGCTGTTTCGCATGAATTGATATGTGGAAGAGCAGGAAATCACATTTCTAGTACTCTACCGAAAATTTTGGACCAAATTGTTACAGTTTTTAAGAAATTAAAAATTCCTGTTGATAATTCAGTAGCTTTTAGAAGGAAATCAGTCATTGAAGATAGTGTTTAATTTCGTGATAAACCGTTATAAAGTTCCCTGTAAGATGCCATTAATGATTTTAGTTCACGTGGAAATTTTGCAGCTCGTTCCTCATCAGGATCACGTTGTTCAAAATGATTACTTAATTTCCTGGCAAGATAAAGACCTTTAATTAGAGTTGCATTTAAAATGGGAGGATCTTCTTCGTCATTATCGCTATGTTCTCTGTCATGATGCTTTTATCAACTAATAATTCCTCTATATTGGCAAATGACAGATCATCCACCAATTGTATGTATGGATATCAGGATCTTTGCTTTTGACACATTTTGGCCAAATATTGTTTCAACATGAGTTCAAGGTTGACGGCTTTAAGTCAACTAACGCTAACACAAAAGAAGTTAGTAACAATTGGTGTCCCTCAGGGATCAATTTTGGCACCTTTGCTGTTTTTAGTATATATAAATGATTTTGTTTCAAATACAACTAATTCAGATATAATTATGTATGCCGATGACACAACAATGGTTAATTTTGGATATTGCTACAATACTACACGTTCATTGGCGGATGTCGCTCTCTCCGAAGCCGAAACATGGTTTCACTCAAATAGGCTCGAATTAAATACCGATAAAACAACAGTAGCTACCTTCTCGCTGCGACCCAAGACTGACACGCGGAACCCTGACAGTGTAATATTTTTGGGCTTGATCCCAAATTAATCTGGGACAAGCATGTCGATTATGTATGCAATAAACTTTGCAATAATATATATCTGCTGCGTGTATTAAGTAATAACGTGTCCAGTCAAACCCTAAAATGTGTTTATTTTTCATTGTGCCAGAGCTTGATGACTTATGCGCTCCTGGTCTGGGGTGGTGCACCATGTAGCGACAGAGTTTTTGGACTACAAAGGAGGGCAATAAGAATATTGGATAATTTAAAATACATGGATGATTGCCGTATGTCCTTTACAAACCATAACATACTGACCTTCCCGGCATTCTACATTTTGGAATGTGTAATATATGTAAGGCGAAATCTCGACGACTTTATTGGTCATGACACTTTATCGAACTAGAAACGGTACCCAACTGAGACCGACCTTTTGTAGACTAGGTCGAAGTCAGTGCCATTTTAAATTTCTTGGAGTAAAATTCTATAACAAAGTACCGAACGACATTGCTCGGTTGCCTCCTGAACTGTTCAAGAATAAAATTAAAACTTTTTTAATTCGGAAGGCCTACTATTCGTACTCTGACTATTTGTGCGACACCATACACTTGCGTGACTTTGGTGGTTAATGTTAATGTTTTTGTTCTGTAAACAACTGGACGTTCGATGATTTTTTTTGTTAAGTACTAAAGTTAAGACTGCTGACGTATTTATATAAATATTGTTAATATTTATACTAAATAAATTTGAATTTGAACACAACTTGATTAATGCAGTCCATACTAGAAAATTTTTTCCACACATTAATGACTGTTAAATCCTCATTATGGACTATGGTTTGTCTAATACGTATTGGAATGAACGTTTTATGTAGTACATTTTAAAAGTAGCAACGATTCCTTGGTCTAGGTGTTGTATTAAGGATGTAGTATTAGGCGGAAGAAAGCAAAATTGCACATTTGGGTGCTCCAAGACCGGATGGCCAGGTGCATTGTCTAGAATTAAAAGCACTTTAAATTTTAGACATTTTGCATTCATTTAGAGTCTAACTTCTGGGATGAAGTATTTCTGGAACCATTCTGTAAAGATTGCACTGGTCATCCAGGCCTTTTTGTTTGCTGTCCAGTGAATTGGCAATTTATTGACATCTACACCTTTCATCGAGCGTGTCTTAAAGCAGTGGTTTTAACATACGTTCTCCTGAAGCATTGGAACAAAACAACCATGTTACACGGTGCTTTGATACTTTAAAACCATCAGCAGTTTTCTGAAATTTTGCAACATAAGTTCTGCTCGGTATTTTTTCCAAAAAAGGCCACATTCATCTACATTCCAAAATTGTTCTGGGATGTATCCTCCATCTTCAATAACTTTTCTAAGTTTTTCAGGAAATTCTTTGGTAGCTAATTCATCTGCAGACGCAGTTTCTCCCTTAATTTTTATATTGTGGAGAGCATGTCGTTTAAGAAAACCTGTCCTCCAACCTGTACTTGCCTCAACTTCAACTTCTTTAATACGTTTATAGATTCTTAATGCAGTTTGCATCTACTGGTATTCTTTTTTGTGATTTATCTTCAATCCAAATTACCAAAGCTTTTTCCATCTTCTTTTTGACTATATCTTATGTATGACGATGATTTAGCACTTATTTTCGTTCCAGAACATACCGATTTTCTGGTCGCAGTTTAATTTTTCTTGATCGTTCTTATAATAGCTTCATGAATACCAAAATGCTTTCCTACAGCCTTTGCACCTTGTCCTGTTGCAAGTTGATCTAAAATTTTAATTTTAATATCTAAACTGATCGCCTTCCTCTTTTATTACTGGTGAATTATGTGACATTGTGTTAATGCTACCAAAATATCTTTCATATTAATAATGCAAAGATTAGAAAGTTATTTAAAACTTACCTGTCATTGAGTTAATTAATCTATACGAGCATTTAAGTTGAAATCGCCATTTTGACAAATAATATTATTTTGAAGTTACTCAAAAGTTATGATATTAAATCCAAAAAAAATTGACCTTAATTTCGAATTTTCTGATCTTTTTTTTTATTTTAGGATCCGCTGTAAGATGTATAGAAGGAAATAGGAAACTAATAGTAGCTTGTTGCGAAGATCTCAGCATTAACACATATCTTATAACATCAGGAGCTAAACCATTACCACCTCTTTTAATAGAAGACGTAGTCGCTGCTTTAAGTCTTTCTGAGACTGGAAATTGTTTGGTTTTAACAAAAACCGGTTTGATGCATATGTGGAATTTAGAACAAGGCAAATCAGTATTAAATCGAATATCAGTGAGGAGTTTACTTTCCAATAAAGGTTCTATTCAATTTGTTATAAATTTTTATAATTTAAACATTTTTTTATAGCAAACGTTTCGAATTGTATCTTATCCTCGGAAAAACCTCTTTTAACGCTAAGCGATGGAAGAGCTTATATGTACAGTTTAGATTTAGGAACATGGATACTTCTTACAAACCCTTTAGATCCATTGAGCAGATCAAGTGGTGCTTTAACCAAAGGCGTTTTGCATAATTTACCTTTGGCGTCGTTGCAAAAAGGGATGCCTTCTCATCTACAAAACGAGGCGCTTCCTTCTGGGGTTACCCTAAGCTTCCTTGAGGCTCAATTAATATCCAGTTCGGTTTTACGATCTGCGACAGAGTTTAGACATTGGCTTCTGGCAACCGTTAATCATCTGCTTGAAAAAGGTTTTCTTAGAATATTACATTTTCAAAATCGATCAAAACTATCTTTTTGCTTTATTTAGGTCCTGAATGCAGATTAAGATCAATTCTTGATGATCTTATAGGCCCTATACATTCCTCAAGTAAAGAATCATCACAAAAATATGATATAATGGTGAGTTTGATACAAAAAATTATCAATATATTTTATTCTAATTGTTGTATTTTTAGGGATTATCTAAAAAGAAGCTTTTGAATGAAATCCTATCATTAATAAAGATGAAACTGCCATGGCAAAGACTGTATAAGGAGTACAGTGAACAACTGGCACTCGCTAATGAATTACCACTTTAAGTGAAAGAAATAAGTATTTCTTGTTTTGTAATTACATCTTTATAAAGAAAATAATGTTTGAGGAAATTTTAATGTAAAAATTAATGAAATTATTAAATTTTTTATTAATTTGCGCATTTTTATATAATTTTAATACTTTGATGTTTTATTTTATGCATTAGTTAACATCAAAATTTCCTCAGTTTGTACATAGTCATTTTGTAATTTATATTTCATTGTAATTTTTCTCACTCGTTACAAATGAAGAGAACAAATATAAGAAAACCAACTTGTTTAATTCACTGCCAATGTTTTTGTATTGTATCTACATATTTTCAAATAAAATTTAAAGACTGTACATAAATGAAGACTATAATTTATGGTGCTTCCTTTCTTCTTCTATATACTTATCAAGATCTGCCATAGGTTTATAATACATATGAACTACTTGTGATCCTGCTAACATGGATAACATTGCAGCTGTAAAAAATTTTAGGTAGCGTGGCCAAGAAACTCCAGCTGGCATTTCTGAAGAATATTAACTGTGTAATTCGTGTTCAACAATATTTTTTGCTTGTCTTCTTTTATAAGTTGAATCTACAAACATAAAAGAGATCGGTTATATTTTGGCGAGCTTTTTTGAGAAAATCTTACAGAAATTAGTTTGTCCCACTCTCCAATTTATCATAGAAAACTCTAAGCTAGCACCTAATAAGAAAAACAGGGGTAAAAATCGGTATTCGCCTAAATATTTCTTTCCAGGCCACTTATTTAAGAGTTTTTTTAACGTAGAACTATACAGTTTTATCATTGCATGTTTTTGATAACCTGTCTGGACTTAAAACATAACCTCAAACACAAATTATATAACGTCAAATTTAAAAATACGTAAACAAGCCTGAAATGAGATTTTATTAGAAATATTATATTAATAAAGCACGATTATTGTCTTTTACAAAAAACTCAAACTATTTTTTTTAATTTTATAATTAATTTCAGTTCTTATTTTGATTTTTCCCAGTACAATAAATTTGACAGCTGTCAACTGTCATTAATAGAATATTGAGGTTATGTTTATTAAAAGAATTTGTATTAATTAAAGGAATTTAAAGAGACAAACTACTTTTTTTCAAATTTGTTATTGAATTTTAAAGTATATAGTAGTTATATAGTATTAATTAAATAATGGAAAGGAAACGCTTTGAAGCTTTACTCACAGATGAAGCTCTTACAAACGAAATGGAAGAAATCAGAGTTTTGAAAGTTTTTTCAGAAACAGAATTAACGTAACAAAAATAAAGTTATAAACTTGAAATAAATTGCTTAAATTTGTTGTGATTTGTAGAGATATCAAGGAGAAAAAACGTGATTTAAGGTTAAAACTTCGTGGGCCAACTCGAACAAGTAAAGATTTGAAAGAATGTATAAACTACGAAAAAAGAATTGTGGCGGAAATAACGGATCGTTTAAAACATGAAAAGAAATCATCAATAACAAATGCTCTAGTTGAAAACATACGGTACATTTATGATGTTGGAATAAAAATATTTTCGAACGATGCTACATTGTTGATGGAATGTTTTGATTTTTGTCGAAAAGTAAAATATTTTCATGGATGTCAAGCTGCAGTTGATATGATGTATAAAGTAAAAAAAAAGATTTAATACAATTGTATCTAAATATAATCATATTTCTTTTTATTTTGATTTTAGTTGCATCAAAATAATGATAAAGTTTGGTATTTAATCGTACGCTTTTATGCATACGATATTGGTAATGTTCATAAAGGTTATCGATTACTTAATGAAGGTTTAAATTTACACAAATCAAGCAAAATCCTCTTAAAAGAAAAATTTGAATTAGAAATTATACTTGCAGTTGGAAGAAATTTTAAAAAAACTGAACCTCAAGCAATAGATCTTATGGAAAAAGAAAATGTGTGTTTAGAAAAATTAAAGAAGCATTTTGAAGATATTAAAGGATTAGTACATGCAAGTGATTTATATGTAGATATAGTCCAAGCAATTGAAAAATATGACTTCACACAACCAATACAGAAAAGCATTGTTACTTATTTATATCAAAATTATTCATCAGAAGCCATTGTTTGGGATATTGTTGCCAAACGAGAGGCGAAAGGATTTTTTGATTTACTAGATATGGAACTAAAACCAAACAGAACATCTCAAGAAGCAATGTTTGATCAGTGTATTCGCCGATATCAGGATGGTTTGAATTTGGTTCAAGGGACTGAAAAACGGAAACTGTGGAGAATTTATTTAGATTATTTGGTGGATCAAGAGAAAGATATTCCAGCGGTTACAAAAATGAAAATGACTATGCTTCGAAAAGGTTTAGATGAAGCATCTGCGCAGGGTTATAAATTTCCTGATCATTATTTAACTTGGTTAGCATTTCAAGAACATGGAAATGACATGGAAGCTCTTATGCATGGTGGAGGTAAGCTTATATCTTACATAAATACATTTTGTTTCAGATAACAGGGCATTAAATGGTTAATTTCTTTTTATTACATATTTGTCACATCATAGTTTTGAAATTGGGTATATTGTGTGTTGTAATGATATTTATTTTTTTAACTATAAAAGGAAGGTAAAATAAAAGTAGAGTCAGTAAAAAAAGTGGGCGAATTCAAGGTGTTTCTCTTACAGTAATTGCACAATTTCCAGTTTAATGACATAACGTTTTAGTAAGTGCAAATAAATAACGAATAATACAAACGTTTCTTATACTGACACAACAGTATTACGTCATCTTATGCTGTAATATACAGTGTGTCCCAGGATAGATGTTGCAAGAGGTATAATGACTTAAAAATTTTTGAAATTTATTTTAAGGCTAAGGAATTAAGCCCTGCTTGGTGCGAAGAGAATTTTAAGAATATTTTCATATTTTGAAAATAAAGGCGGCCTTGACAATGAATGGAAAACTATTTTTAGTTTAGGTAAAGTAATCTTTTTGTTAATGGTACGGAAAGATTTTATTAAGAAAAGTTGTTCAAAATGAGAAATTATGGTACTATACAAAATTTCAGAAGGATCTATCTACTTTGGTTGAACCATCACATATTAGTTTAAATAACATAAGTATTGTATAGTAATTGAAATGTGAACTAAAACTGAGGGATAATACAATTTATTTGTCAATATTTGCGAGTACTTAAGTCATTTTTTTTTTTCATGGCATTTTTCATTTTTTCTTCACTTTGATCTAATCTAAAATATGGTGGTTTAATTAATGTAGGTGGATCTTTCTGAAATTTTGTATAGTGCCATAATTTCTCATTCTGAATAACTTTTCTTAATGATATTTTACCGTATCATGAACAAAAAGCTTACTTTACCTGAACTCAAAATAATTTTCACTTCACTATCAAGGCCGAGTTGATTTTCAAAATATGAAAATGTACTTAAAATTCTCTCCACATCAAGCAGGGCTTAATTCCTCAGCCTTAAAATAAAATTCAAAAATTTTTAAGTCATTATATCTCTTGTAACATCTATCCTGGGACACACTGTATGTCACATAGGTGCAGGGGCGGCGACAAAGATTTGACGACTACAAGCGAAAATGGATGTGGCCGCCCTTGCCTAAATAAAAATTTAAGAAAGTGTCCTTTCAAAAATGCACTTTGATTTATTTCTATTTATTTATTGAACAAGTTGTAACAAATGAAAATTTGTTAAAATTCTCGCCTTTTTGCTTGTAAAACGTCGCAATGCATCTTGTATGTCTATAAATCTAGCAATATCATTTTCTATTGATAAAATTGCCAGGCCTGATAGCCGATTTTGTGTCATTGTTGACCGAAGATACGTTTTAATTTGCGTTTTAATTAATTTTAAACGAGAGAAACTTCTTTCTCCACTGGCCACACTAACAGGAATTGTTAATAGGATTTTCAAAGCGATAATTAAAGATTTGGATATACAGGGTGATTCACATAAGAACCGACACAGAGCAGGGACATGTAGAGGACAATAAATTAAGATGATTTAACGCAACTTATCTCTGTACTAAGTTGTACCCCTGAGGAGTTATAGGCCTTCAAAGTTGGGTCTCAAATTTTTAAAACATTGAATATCTTCGTAATACATTAAGCTAGAATAACCAAATTTGGTATAAGTTATGAGTGTACCAAGGGTATTAATTGGTAACAAGTTGAGACCAATTGAGGCATTTTAAAGGGTTGATTAAGGGTAATGGTACCCTAAATTTTGACAGATTTTTTTAACCTTTTGGCGGATTTAATACATTACTACTTCATTTCATGTGGAATTTAATTCTAAAACTTTTCTTACTCTTATTATTTTTTAAGAAACTGTCGTTTTCATAAAAAACTCAAATAACTAAAGACACGTATTTCGTTAATGCCACTTAAATCATCGAAAATTCAGTAGTCGGCTGTGAAATTGTACGTCAAACTTGACAAATAGGTTATAAAACCTTGTCAAATAACTTTATAACCTATTTGTCAAGTTTGACGTACAATTTCATAGCCGACTACTTAGTTTTCGCTTATTTTAAGTAACATTACGAAAAACGTGTCTTTAGTTATTTGAGTTTTTTATGAAAACGACAAAGTTTTTTAAAAAATAATAAGAGTAAGAAAAGTTTTAGAATTAAATTCCACATGAAATGAAGTAGTAATGTATTAAATCCGCCAAAAGGTTAAAAAAATTTGTCAAAATTTAGGGTACCGTTACCCTTAATCAACCCTTGGAAATGCCCCAATTGAGTTCAATTTGCTACCAATTAGTACCCAATAAATGTACCAATTATAACGTATACAAAATTTGGGTTTTCTAGCTTAATGTATTACGAAGATATTGAACTTTTTAAAAATTTAAGTGCCAACTTTGAAGGCCTATAACTCCTCACGTGTACAACTTAGTATAGACGTAAGTTACGTTAAATCATCTTAATTTATTGTCCTCTACATGTCCCTGCTCTGTGTCAGTTCTTATGTGAATCACCCTGTATAACGATCGATATTTTTTCTATTGTTATGTGTAAGAGTGATCTCAAAATTCATACTTTACTTTATGACGTCCTCTTGTCGGCAAGATTGTGCAAAATTCCGAATATATTATTAAATAAGGACAACTGCTGAAAACGCTCCTCTATTGAATGAATCGCTATGTCAAGTAAATTAAAATATACATCAACTTTAAATTTTTGTGACGGATCTTGTCAATCTTGTCGGATTGGGTTGTCAAAAGTTTCATTATTGAAATTGCGTTTTCTACGTCTTAATCTGATTTCTGTAAAGTTTGGTTGCACGTTTACTGAATTTGCTAGTTCAGACGCTATAACTAACAGTTTTTGATACTCTTCATCACTTCTTAGTTTTTTTAGATTATTTGCAACCTATTCAATTGTTTCAACTGCTGCATAAACCGGGCACTTTGGGCTTTGTAGTAGAAGATTTACTCTGTTAATATGTTAAAGTACATTATACCAAATTATAGTAATGCATATGAACTGTTAATTTAACATCTCTAATAAACTCCTGGACAAAATTTACGCACCACTTTATTAAACGTAAATAATTAAATTACTAAGAATATAATAAAATCAAATTAGAATGAAAGCTTACAAATTGGGTTTATAAAATTGGTTGAAAAAGGAATCAGTGAAACATGACCTTATTTTAAATCATTAATACGTCTTTTGTTGAAAATGTGTGAGATATAAAAACGAAAATCAAAATGAAAAATGTTTAAACAATCGAATGAAAGAATCCAGTGTGACATTAGTACCTTGTAGGTCCTCCTCTACTCCTAAAACAACTAATTACAATTTTGAATTGTATCCTGGGGAATATTGTCCCATTCTTCAATTACTGCATCCAGCAGCTGATTGTGGTTGGCAGGTGGGAGTCTACGACCACGGACCTTTTTTTTAAGATAGTCCCATAAATGTTCTATGGGATTGAGATCGGGACTGTTAGGTGGCCAATCCATGAACTGAATATTAGCAGCATGCAAGTAGTTAACCTGTCTAGCCACGTGAGGACGTGCATTATCTTGCATGAATATAAAAGTAGGGCCTAAGAGGAGCAAATGGCATTACGTGTCAAAGTACGATGTTTTCCAGGTACTAATCCGCATTCATAGACCTCGCGCGTATAGGGACCAACGCTGTGCGACCGTCGAAGCAGATGGCTCCCCAAAACATTACAGAGCCGCCACCAAACGGCACCCGTGGAGCAATGTTACAACTTACAAATCTCTTTCCTTGTCTTCGCCATACACGCTCACGTCCATCCGGAGATTTTAAGCTAACCCTCGTTTCGTCAGAGAATAAAATCTTTTTCCAATCATTAACAGACCAATCAATTTCGGGCAAAATGCCATCTTTGAACTTTGTGCTCTCTGGTAAATAACAGCTTTTTTTTGCTGGTCTCCTGTTCTTTAATTCGGCTTCATTTAAACGTCTTCTGATTGTTCGAGAGATATTGCAACATTACGAACCTCTAATAACTGACTTTTTAACACATTACTAGTGATTGTCCGATTTCAAAGAGCAGATACTCGCAGAAAACGGTCATCCCTTTGCTTAGTACATCGTTTTCGTCCTTGCCCTGATCTTCGAATGTGAGATCCAGTTTCGATAAACCATCTAATGATACGACTTATGCTGGAATGATTCCTTCCTAACACATTGGCAACATAACGCATCGAGAACCCCTCATCCAGCAGAGTTGATGCTCGTACTGCCTCTTCCACCGATAAATTTCTTTTGTTATTCATTTTTCTCATTGGTAGATTACACTGTAAACACCTATGTGAAAATCACCCACACGAAAAAAACTTTACTCTTACAGAAAAATTGTTTAAACCGTAACTTTTTCAAAAAAAAACGTGAGTTTTAATCAAAAGCGATTTTAACTACGGTTTATAACCTTAAAAACTAGGTATCCATAGCCTACTAGCCATATATATACTATCTCCTATATCGCTAACTCCCTATCTAAGCAATGAGTGGCGAGCGTTTCCATCAAAAGCAGACGGAATGATATATGTTTTGTCTTTGTCGTGCCCCCATGTCGCGAAGGCGCTTGCGCGAATCGTAAATTTTAAAGAGTTTGAAGTGTTTCGCGCGTATTTTATGCAGCTTTGAAATGCAATTATTGTAGATAGTTGACTTTAATTATAAATTATCGTAGATGCATCAAATAAATTAGAATATATGTACTTTTGTGTGAAATTGACGTTGAATATTGCTTTAAATATCAACTTTATGTAGGTTGTTCATTAAACATTATATTCTTTACTTTTAACAAATTTTCTTCACTTTCTTAACAAATAATAATTACATTTTAAATTGCTTAGTCCTAAAATATGTTAATAATTATGTTATTATACACATGAAACCTATAATATACATAACTAAATATTTAGATTTTAGGTTATGTTTATGTCAAACATTTATTT